ACGCTCAGAGGCTCTCTGGACTCAGTCTGTGAGCTGTGGAGAGAGTTAGAGTGTTTTATTTCTTTACAAACAGCTCATACTTCCTGGGAAACAGTGTGAGCAGCTCATCAAACATTCGAGGGGAAACATGAGTCTGCAGGCAGAGCGGAAAAAGCTCAAACATTAAACTGCAGCTCAGAGAGTCTGTCCTCATACAACCCAATGAATGCTCTTTCAAATCCCCCCGATGAGCTGTAGTTTTTTATTTCTACCTATTCTTATTTTATCATCATTTATAGTATCGTTATTTCCCGTGTTTACATCTTTTACTCGCCGCTCTGTGTGCTTCCAACTGCCTCCTTCGAACAAATTAAGTTTTTTAAATTAAATTATTTAAAAGGTTAAAGCTGATTTCAGAGAAAGAGGGTCATGTGATCTCAATGTCTTCAGGCTAAGTCTGCTCAGTCAGCCTTTGTGGTGTCTCATCATCATCATCATCATCACCATCATTACAGTCATCTTCATCATTATCATCATAGCCCTGTTTCTCCGTTTCCACTCCTCCATCCCTAACAGACCTATACGACAATCACACAACACTCTTGGTGGCTCTTTTTTATTCTGAACCACTTTCAGGTGGTTTGAGTTCATTTGTAATCCCTCTCCGGTGGGTCCGGTCCATATGAAGTCATCCCCTGATTGGTCCAGTGTAATTCAAAGCTTCCATATATGGATTTCCTTTTGTTTTTGGTTGAGCGGTCTTTTTTCCCCCTGTTTCTCCCTCCTCAATAGTTGATCTCTTCCCCCTTCTTTGAGAGCGTGGGTCTTCCTCGATTTCTGAGCCCTGGTTTTCATAAAGTTTCTGCAGCTGTCAGGCAGATTCAGAGTTTCCTCAAACTGCTGCTGCTCAGTGAACGTCACAGTGATTCAGAGCAGCTTCTACCTCTAATGCTTTTGCACACTTTCTTCATCTAAATATTCCTGACAGCAGCAGAGCTCCACTGTGTCTGCTGCCCTGAACAGAGCGGATTTCATTTTTAGGAGGTATAATGGTGTGATTTTGTTTTCTGTTTTAGTCCTGTTCGTTATTGTTTATCATTTTGAGTCAAAATAAATGTCCTGATGTTGAAAACACCGATCAAAAGGGGGTTGATAACGCAGACATGTGGAAAAACAGTGAAAACTGTTCATTTCTGCTCTCAGATGTTGGTGGGAGTTCCTTCTGCGTCAGGCTGACGTGTCCTGGAGGTGATTGGTCTGTGTCCGGTCTGTGTCCGGTCTGGGGTCTTATTGAAGTCCAGGTCTCTGATCGCTCCTCGAGCTTGTCTGTAATGTTACTCTGGTGTCTCTTATCTTTCTCTCTTTTATATCCTGTGGGGTTTCGGGTTCGGGTTCGGGTCGGACGCGTTGGCCGCTCAGTCAGACATGTTATTTCACAGACAGCAGACCGGTCTCTGGTAATTTTGGCGCCGTGGGCAGGTGTCAGGTCCTGCTGTCAAAGGAAATCTGTATATTCTCAAAACTCCAGCTGCTTTGTTTGTTTGTTTTTAGTTGTTCATTTGTTTATTTGTTTGTGTGTTTGCGTATTTAAATTTCTTTTTGTTTGTTTGTTTGCTTGTTTTTATATTTGTTTATTTGTTTATTGTTTGTCTGTGTATTTGATTTTTTTCCGTTTGTTTGTTTGTATTTGTTTATTCATTTATTGTTTGTGTATTAAATTTTTTCCGTTTGTTTGTTTGTATTTGTTTATTCATTTATTGTTTGTGTATTTAATTTTTTCCGTTTGTTTGTTTGTATTTGTTTATTCATTTATTGTTTGTGTATTAGATTTTTTGTGTGTTTATTTGTTTGTGTATTTGATTTTTTTCCGTGTTTGTTTGTTTGTATTTGTTTATTCATTTATTGTTTGTGTATTTGATTTTTTTGTGTGTTTATTTGTTTGTGTGATCTCTCTCAGTCTCTAACGCTGATAACGAGCCTCATTATTTCAGAATAATCCAATCAGAGCTGCCCCCCCCCCATATTTTTCTTTTTTTCTTAATTTTATTCTTTCCTAATCTCTTTTTTTTCTCCTCTTTGCTGTGCTCCTCATCTTCTTTCCTTCTTTTTTGTTTCCTTATCTCCTTTCCTTGTGTCCTCTTACTTAGTTCATTCACTTCCTTCCCTCTCTGTCGTCCTCTTTGTTTCTCATCAGTTGTTCCTCTTGTTTCCTTGTTTCCTTTCCTGTTCCCTTGGTCTGTTTTCCACTGTACTGACATGCTGAGGTGGGTCACTGAACTTCCTCTCCATCTCTCCCCTGTTCTCTCCTTTCTTCCTCACCTCTCCTCACCTTTCCTTTTCTGTCCTTTCCTTATCTTCCCCTCTTTTCTTCCTCTTTGTTTCGCATGCTTGACGAATTCAGAACAACAGGAGCACAAACAAACGACGGGGAACAGGTGGTAATCGATGATTTAATTACAAAGAGGAAAGTTACCACCTTTAGCCAGACAGACAGGGAGCTAAGAAGGCCTAATAAGAAAAACAGGTGCCGGGCTGAAGGGCTGATAACGGGAACAAAACCCCTGAAGAAATGGAGAGAAAAAAGGGATGAGCACAGGTGGCTGATGGGAAAACGTGCTGCAGATCTAAGTTCAAGCCTGGTGAGGAGAATGAGATTATTACAGAGGAGGGGAAAGACGGAGGAGTGTGACCTGAAACGCAGGAGACGAAGGAGAGTCCTTCATCGAAAAGCAAAACCCCAGAAGGCTGTTAATAATGTCTGTCATCCGTGTTCATCATCACCTGTAAACACAGGTGTGCAGGTTTCCAACAGAGATCGTTTCTACACATAATCGACCAGACTTACAGAAAAAAGTCAATAGAAGGAAACATCTGTTTTCTGCAGATCTATAGATTCTACGATCATCTGCATACAAATCAATGCCTGAAGGTATAAACGAATATGGAAGGTCATTTTTCAACATGGTATATAGGAGACGTCCAAGACAGCTGCCCTGGGGGACTCCACACTGCAAGGATTTAAAGTTTCATCCGACCCCCGACCTCCACCTTCATCCTGATCGTCTCCTAAAAGGTCGTATCCTCCGATCGTAGCTGATCGTAACCATTCAAGTTAACGTGTCAATTTACACCGACTTCTTTCCGTTCCTCTGCGGATCGCCGGAAGAGTTCTATTTTTTCTGGACGCCGGAGCATGGCGGATAAATTCAGCACAGATTAACCCGTGCTGGAAAGGAAGTCGGGCACAGACACAAAATAAAACATCCGGCTTCTTTTCAAAATAAAACACTCCGTGTTTCAGGAGGATCGTATTTCACACCATGCAAACGGGCGGAGACGAACAAGTGAAAGGTTTTTAGACATCATTTAATAATAATAATAATAATTCATTTTATTTGTACAGCGCTTTTAAAAACACTCAAAGACGCTTTACATAGTACGTAAAATTCAAGATAATAAGACAAAGACATGAAAACAGTAAGATGGACAAAACAGTTAAATATTAAAAGCAATTTTAAATAAGTGGGTTTTTAAAAGGGATTTAAAAGTAGTGGAGTCAGGGCAGTGTCTGATGGAGGGAGGTAGGGAGTTCCAAAGGGTAGGGGCAGCTGAGGAGAATGCCCGATCCCCCCAAGTTCGGTGCTTGGGCCGTGACAGTGGGGTGAGAAGATGGGCAGAGGAGGAACGGAGGTTACGGGGGGGTACATGAGGCTGGAGTAGGTCGGTGAGATAAGAAGGGGCTTGATGATGAAGGGCTTTGTGGGTGAGAAGGAGGATCTTGAACATGATGCGTTGCTTGATGGGGAGCCAGTGTAGACGGAGGAGGATGGGGGTGATGTGATCTCGTGAACGGGTGTGGGTAAGGAGGCGGGCGGCAGAATTCTGGACTATCTGTAATTTGTTGAGGAGTTTAGAGGGTAGACCGTACAGGAGGCTGTTGCAGTAATCTAACCTTGAGGTGATGAAGGCGTGGACCAGGGTTTCTGCTGCGGGGAGGGAGAGAGATGGGCGAATACGGGCAATGTTTTTGAGGTGAAAAAAGGCTGATTTAGTGACCTGTTTGATGTGTTGTTCAAAAGTGAGGTGGGTATCAAAGATGAGTCCAAGGTTGCGGATGGAGGAGGAAGGAGACAGGGGTGAGTTATCAGCTGTGATGGAGAAGGGGGGATGGATTGGGTGATGGATTTGGGGCCAATGATTATCATGTCGGATTTGTCACAGTTCAGTAGAAGGTAGTTGTTGGTCATCCAGGTCTTTATTTCGGAGAGGCAGGTTGAGAGGGTGGAGAGGGTGGATGGGGTGATGGATTCAGTGGAAATGTAAAGTTGGACATCGTCAGCGTAACAGTGAAATTGGAGGCCGTGACGACGGATGATATGTCCAAGAGGGAGGATGTAAATAATGAACAGGAGGGGGCCAAGCACCGAACCTTGGGGGACACCTTGGGTCAGGGGAGCAGTGGTGGAGGAGTTGCTGTTTATGTTAATGAATTGTTGGCGGTTTGTGAGGTATGACTTGAACCAGGAGAGGGCAGTGCCAGTTATGTAGATTGAGTCATGAAGACGGGAAAGGAGGATGGAGTGGTGGATGGTGTCAAAAGCAGCGGTGAGGTCCAGGAGAATCAGGATGCTAATGTGGCCGGAGTCAGCGCTGAGGAGGAGGTCATTGCAAATCTTGAGGAGGGCTGTTTCTGTACTATGTTTGGGACGGAAACCGGATTGGAAGACTTCAAAGAGGCTGTTGGAGTTGAGGTGGGTCTGAAGTTGAGAGGCGACGGCACGTTCTAATATTTTAGAAAGCAGGGGAAGGTTGGAAATTGGGCGGAAGTTAGAAATTATGTCAGGGTCGAGTCCGGGTTTTTTGAGGGTTGGGGTGATAGCAGCCAGTTTCGGGGACTGATCCGGTGTGGAGGGAGGAGTTGACTATGGAGAGGATTAGTGGAGAAAGGACTGGAAGGCAGGTCTTAACGAGTGCGGAGGGCATGGGGTCCAGGGTGCAGGTGGGAGTCTTCATGCTAGTTATTAACTGGGAGAGTTGGGCATGAGAGATGGGGGAAAACTGGGATAGGGGCTGAGCAGAGGTGTGGGGGGAGCACAAGGGGGGGACTTGGGGTGGGGTGTGGGGGCGGAAGTTGCGGACTGGAGGCTGTTGTAGATGTTGTCTATTTTGGACTGGAAGAACTGAAGGAAAGTCTGGCATTTGTCTGGTGTGAAGGTTGAAGTGCTGTTGTCATGTGGTGCCAGAAGTGAGTTGATGGTGGAGAACAGGGTCCTGGGGTTGCTGGAGCCAGAGTGAATGATGTTGGAGTAGTATGCTGAGCGGGCGGAGTTGAGGGTGGCTTTGTACTGATGGAGGTGATCTCTATAGAGCTGGAGGTGAATTGTGAGTCCGGTTTTCCTGTAGAGTCTTTCAAGTTGGCGTTTTTTTTGTTTCAGCTGGTGGAGTGCTGGGGTGTACCAAGGAGCAGAGCGGGCGAATGTGACGGATTTGCTTTTTACAGGGGCAAGTAGGTTCAGACAGGAGGAGAGAGTCTGGTTGTAGTAGGTGACAAGATCAGAGGGGTTATCGGACGCTTGTGGGGGTGATGTGGTGAGGTTGAGAGAGAGAGCGGCGGTGAGGGCAGATGGGCTGATTGATTTGAGGTTCCGGAAGTTGATGGTTCGTTTGAGTCTGGTGGGTGGGTCGGGGAGGGTTATAACTGTTTTGATAAGTAAGTGATCAGAGATATGGAGATCGTGGCAGGAGGGGGGATGTTTCCAGGCCGGTTGAACAGATAAGGTCCAGGGTGTGGCCATGGTTATGGGTGGGGAAATGGCAGTGTTGGGTGAAGCTGAAGCATTGTAGGATGTCCAGAAATTCACGGGCTAGACTGCAACTGGGGTTGTCAATGTGGATGTTGAAGTCACCGAGGAGGAGAACGGATGGGGAGAGGGCACAGAGCTGTGTGAGGAGGTCAGAAAGGTCAGTCAGAAAATCTGGGCTTGGTTTAGGTGGGCGGTAGATAATAGCAATAATGAGAGGGGGGGAACCAGGGAGTTTGAGAGCAACATGTTCAAAGGAGGAGACGGTTGGCATGGAAAGTGAAATGATTTTGAGATCCTTATTGTGAATTGTTGCAATGCCGCCACCTCTGCCTTCTAGGCGGGGTTTATCAATATAGGTGTAGCCTGTGGGGGTGGCCTGATTGAGGGAAAAGTAGTCCAGGGGTTTGTGCCATGTTTCTGTTAAAAAGAGAAAGTCCAGTTTATTGTCCATGATGAAGTCTTGCAGGATGAGGCCTTTACTGGTGAGTGATCGGGTATTAAACAGGGCCAGGTTTAGGTGATGTGGGTGGGGCAGTTTCACTGATGATTCCTGTGAGGACCGGGGTAGTGTGCGAAGGTTGGCATGATGGCTACTCCTTAGAGCAGGGTGGTGGAGGGGCCTGTGGCTGATGATGGTGGGGATTTTAAAACTTGTTATTTCCTGTTGCAGTGGCTTGAGTGGTGGGTAGGGGGAGCCAGAGGGACGGGTAGGTCGGTGTGCAGGGAGCAGTTCCAGGGGGGTACGCTGGGGGTCGCTGTGATTGGTAACGGTGTCAGAGGAGGAGCATGAGGAAGAGGTGGATGTAAACACTAGTCAGTCGATCTGCGCGCTTGTGTGGACACTGTACTGGATGTTGGAAACTAAGATGGATCTGCCAGACCTGTTCAGGTGGATGCCATCACTGTTAAAATAATCAGGCCGGTTCCAGAAACTGTTAAAATTGTCAATAAAATGAACATTTTGGGCGTTGCAAAGCATGTTGGTCCAGCTGTTTAGGCTAAGGAGTCTGCTAAAACGCTCGCAGTTCTGCGTCATCGTCGGGAGCAGCCCACTAATAAAAACCGACTTGCCACAGTCTTTTAGGGAGTTAAGAAGCCTTTTAAAGTCACATTTTGTCTGTTCAGACTGCCGACGCGCTGTGTCGTTACAGCCGATGTGCACAATAATGCGGCGAATGGAGGAGGGAAGAGAGCGGAGGAGAGAGGGGATCTTATTAGCGATATCGGCAGCTGTGGCACCGGGGAAGGATAGTGTGGTGACATTAAAGAAACGAATACCTCTGGTGATGGAGTCTCCGATGATGACTGTCGTGGGGGCGAAGAGAGGGGCAATCGGCGGTGCAGTGCCGCTTCCAGGAGATGTGGAGGTGGCACAACGTAGACGCGGCTCCAGCTCGCGCTGCGGGATGCTGTCATTTTGGGACGCAGCTCTGGGGACGGATCCGACGGAGCGGCGACGGACCGCTTCCCGCAACAATTTGCGTCGGGACGCTGCGCATGATGTCCGGGTTATGTTTTGTTGGACCTCGGGCTCACTGGTGAGGCTCCGTGTGCTGCCAGGCGCCAACGTGGGGATCTCTCCCTTGCTGGGCTGCGCCCGGGGGCCACCGTACGACAGCGCGGAGGTTTTCTTCACACGGGCGTCCAGCGGCATCCGGGAGTTGGCCAGCCCTGGTCCCGAGGCCGGGCGGTCAACTGCATTAGATGAGGCCAAGGCTTCGGCCGCAGGGCTGCCCATGGTTCCGGGAGATCCTCCGGTAGCCTGGGAAGGAGCTGCGGTGGTCCCGACGGCTGGCAGGTTGGAGGAGGAGGTCGCCTTGCTGCCGGTTGGCGTCTGGACTGGGCTGTCAGCTGCGTTGATGGCGGCCTGGACTGTGTTTGCGGGCCGGGGTATGGACAGCTGGAGAAGGGTCGTGGAGCTGCTGGGAAAGGCCGGTCGGGGCGGGGAAACACCACGGGCATTTTTCTTATCGTTATTGCCACGGATTGCTACCTCGGACCACGTTGGACGTGCAGGAGTTGAGGTGGATGAAGGCCGGGGGCTGTCGGGGTCCCAGGGTAACGTATCGTGGAGGGAAGCCTGGAGAGAGGCAAGGTGGCGGGTCTGCTTGAAGGCGACACCCATACAAGCGGTGAGTAGATCTGATTTGGCTTTCAGTTCAGCAGACAATCTGCAAATGTCCTCTTTGAGACGAGTGATTGTGGCGTTTGCCTTGTCCAGTTCAGATATATGGAGTGGGGACGTGGAGGTGGAAGAAGCCATGATGGCGGTAGAGTTTAAACAACTCCAAACAATTTCAGATAACTCCAAACATAAGCTCCTCAGCGAGAACTGTTGAGTAGGAAGAGTGTAACTCCAGGAGATTTTTAATCCGAATTATTCGAAGTTGACGTCCATTCATGAGGTTTAAACAGGATGAATGAATGAAGCGGTGAAAAACTATGAGAAACGTTCAAAACGATCAACAGAATATTATCAGTGCTTACCAAACCCATCACCCCGATGACACCATGAATGAGGAGATGCTGATTCTAGAAGTCTAGAAGTAGATTTCCTCCTCTGGAAGGACACAATCTACTGCTTATATGTCTATGTGGCTGTCTTTAGAGAGACGACTCGTTATCGTGAGATTGAACGTGAATCTGCGGGTTCTCCTGAGTTCTCCTGATTACTGCTGTCCATAATCCACCACGAAATTCGCCTCACCAGTAGGATCCAGTAGGAATTGGCGGACAGCAAAAATCGCCGCCGTTCCGGATGCAGTGAAAATTGGGGGTAAGAGGTTACTAACCGCCACCGTATGGAAAGCAGGAAGCAACCATCTTGGTTTGGAGCTCAGGGTGCTTTGAGTTGTTCCAGGACGTAAAGCTAATGCTAATCTGTTCGGGAGGAAGACTCTAGATTCAGACGAGCAGCTTCAGTGAGGTTATGTAGGAAGTTTTAACATTTGTACCTGAACGACTGTGTCCACTCATACAGCCATGAACGTGTCTGACAGGCCTCTCATCATTTGTGCCTCTTCAGAGACTCTCACTGAGACCTGGGCTGTGGTTCATGACAGAAACAGCTGACAGGACATCAGGTGGAGGACAGCTGTTGGCCGGTTCATTGACGAGGAAACATTTGACAGGTATTGGCACGCAGTGAAGTGGGACGCAGTAAGAACCAGCTTTGGGGCCCCGTGGGCTCTGTGGTGCCGGGCTGGCAGGGCCTCAGGCGGGCTGACAGCAGAGGCGGCTAACAAGAACGCCGGGTGGAGAGGACAGCAGGAGGAGAGGCTGGGAGAGCTGGAGGCAGATGCTGCAGGTGGAGTTTGGAGACGTGTCAGTCATCCCTGTTTGTGGATGTCAGGGCTGAGGATCTGTGAGTCAGCTGAACAGGAGGAGATTCTGGAGGAGGTCAGACCCTCACTCCTCACTGACAGAGTCGGTGAGGAAGCTGCATCTCCAAGTCTCCTCACTGTCCACTCCAGGATGAGGAGGAGGAGGAGGAGCTGATTTCAGAGACCTCATCATTCATTCATTCACCTCTCCCCTTCCTCGGCTTTGACTCTTTATTTCCACCCCTACTCCTCCTTCTCCTCCTCCTCCTCCTCCTCCTCCGTTTCCTCCTGTCTTGGTTCGTCTTTTTCACCTCCATGTTTCTAACGTCTCTCTTCACTCGTACCTTCATTCTCTTTCCTCTTCCTAATGAACTTGATATGACCTTTGACCTTTTATTCTCTGTTTTCTGATACTCCAGTATGACCTGAGGAACCTTCTCATCTCCTCTTTTTGTAACTTTTCATTTCCTTTCTCTTGTCTCCTTCCTTTTGTCATTTTGATTTCTTTGTGTATCCTCTCCTCCTCCCTGTTTCTTATCCTTTCTTTCCTCCTCCCTGTTTCTTATCCTTTCTTTCCTCCTCCCTGTTTCTGTTTCTTTCTTTCCTCCTCCCTGTTTCTGTTTCTTTCTTTCTTCCTCCCTGTTTCTGTTTCTTTCTTTCCTCCTCCCTGTTTCTTATCCTTTCTTTCCTCCTCCCTGTTTCTTATCCTTTCTTTCCTCCTCCCTGTTTCTCATCCTTTCTTTCCTCCTCCCTGTTTCTGTTTCTTTCTTTCTTCCTCCCTGTTTCTGTTTCTTTCTTTCCTCCTCCCTGTTTCTTATCCTTTCTTTCCTCCTCCCTGTTTCTGTTTCTTTCTTTCCTCCTCCCTGTTTCTGTTTCTTTCTTTCCTCCTCCCTGTTTCTGTTTCTTTCTTTCTTCCTCCCTGTTTCTTATCCTTTCTTTCCTCCTCCCTGTTTCTGTTTCTTTCTCTCCTCCTCCCTGTTTCTGTTTCTTTCTTTCTTCCTCCCTGTTTCTGTTTCTTTCTTTCCTCCTCTCTCATTATTTTCCTTTTTTTCATCAAACATTTTTCACCCGCTGCTCCTTTTTTTTACTTTCATTTCCTGTTTTTTTCTCTCTCCTTTTCTTCAAACATCTCCTCCTCCTCCTCCTCTCTCCTCCTCCTAATCACCCCCCCCACACACACACACACACACACACCAGCAGATGATCAGCGAACAGCAGCATCGTCACTCTGCTTGCTGAGGACTCACATGACGGTGAGGATTTCTCTTTTTCTTTCTTTGCTGCTCTCCTCGCTCCTCCAGCTGCTCTTTTATTTTTCCGTCCTTTTGTTCCCTCATCTTTTCTACTTTTGCATCTTTTCCCCGCCGTGCAGCAGTCTGAGGGTACGCTGCATCTCAAACAGGCTTTCTAACTCCAGCTGCCTTCTCCTTCGCTGAAATTCAGTTTGCGTTCGGACTCGTTTGGAGACGGTTCGGCCGAGCTCGCAGCTCCGTGGATCTGGACTGTGCTCATGAGTGGATATTTGAGCAGATCTAACTGGTTCTGCTCCTCACTGAAGTCAAGCAGATCCCTCTGAGGCTGGAGTTAGAGCGGTGTAAGGAGGACGGATTCTGTGGTTCTGTGAAGGTGGGACTGTTTTACCTGCATGTCTGTGTGTTTTTCATCCACAGGACACTAAAGTGACTCTGTCCACTTTTCTGTCTCCTTGTTTTTGCACTTTTTCCGTATTTTTATCGCCGTCTTTCACAAACACTCTGCGGTCGTGAGCAGTGAGCGCTCTGGACGGGGAGATGAAGACGTCCGTGGTGTGACAGGATGGACTTACTGGATGTCCTCACCCCAGTGTTGGCCACCATGCCGGCCACTCCACCTCCAAACTCCTCTCTGGAGAACCAGACGTCCTCTTCCTCGCCCAGGTCTCCTCCTCTTCCTCACTCTCAGGTGGCGTCCGTGTTTATCGTGCTGGTCGTCACGGTGATCATCCTAGGGACGGTGGTGGGAAACGTCCTGGTGGTGGTGGCGGTGTTCACCAGCCGAGCCCTCAGGGCCCCTCAAAACCTCTTCCTGGTGTCTTTAGCCTCGGCCGACATCCTGGTGGCCACACTGGTCATCCCATTTTCATTAGCCAATGAGGTGAGAGAACCATGACCACAGACCATATCCTGTTTCTGATCATTTACAACATCAGCAGCTCCAGTCCACATATCATCTATAACCTGATACCGTATCCAATCAGAGATGCTGATTCAGACACAAACCTGCTGAAAGGATGTTTCCGTGTTTCTGAAGGGACTTAAATGTCAGTAGGCGTGTTTTAGCTCTGATGGATGTCAGTCAGCTCCGCCCCTTTATTCAGAAACCAGAGAGAACCTGCACACATCCGAGGCTATAGTTTTCTGCAGACGGGTTTGACTCCGCCTCCAAATTAGCCGGATTTCAGTCTAAACACGGCTGAGGAACCTTTGAGCACGCTCTGCAGCAGACGGCGCCATCATCAAGTCACTGAGGCGTTACGAAGTTTGAGATTCGTTCATCTCAGTTTTTCATCAACCGGAGCCGCAATCAGCTTTTGGACACAGTCAGTCCGTTTCCATGACACTCGAGAAAACCGAATTATCGCCTTATTCCGATAATAACCGGGCAACTGAAGGTCATGTAAACACCTTAGTCCGACTATAATCAGAGTTTGAGAGCGCCGATTAATTCACCCAGATAACGTGATTGGAATTTGATTTTTTTCTCTACCATGTAACCAGCGTAGTCGGAGTATGATGCCACGCCCCCGTAACCCCGTAACAAACCCCCAGAGTAGAGGAGTAGCGTTGGTCTCCTCTTTAGAAAAAGTAGCGCGTCCATCATGTCGGACAAAAACAACGCTGTACGATGCTCCATCTTCTTGTTTCTCCAAAATGTCCAGCAGCAGTTGTAGACACTTCTGACGTCTGACACCGACCTGCTGTTGTTGTTGACGGTTGGATGGGGTCGGAAACAGTGCCCCCTAGTGTTGGGGAGGAGGACACGTTCACGTCAATAATTCAGTTTTCTCAGCTGCATGTAAACGAGGACGAGGAGAGAAGTCTGATTCAGAGAAAAAGACGAACTATGAGTTTAGTCGATTAAACTGAGACTGTAAACGACCCGTGTGACGTGTGTGCAGAGTCGGTTATTCCGCCTTCAGCTGCTGACTCCGAGTATCCTGACCAGATCAGGTGAGCAGATCTTTTGATCAGGGGTTTGTCATGATGCAGTAAAAACAGCTGACCTCTGACCTCTGACTGAACTGGTTCAGCTTTCAGGGCAGCAGTGGACTGGTGATGGTCTGCTGCTGGATTTGGATTCGCAAAGATCCAGAAGTTCTGCTGGTACCAAGTCTGGGATCTCTCCTGCTGTCCAGTTCGCTCAGAAGTACGAGTGTTTGGGTCGGTGTCTCTAAACTCGCTGGTGGAGTAAATTGTCGCCTAGCTTGCGTGCTGGTTCTCCTGGTCGTTTCTTAAAGGGGAGGAGCTAACGAACCTAAAACACGCTCCAACAACCTTATTCTAACATGGCTGAGGTTTCCTTTTTAATGACTCTCTCTCTCTCTCTCTCTCTCTCTCTCTCTCTCTCTCTCTCTCTCTCTCTTTCTCTCTCTCTCTCTCTCTCTCTCTCTCTTTTTTGAGGTGGTGGTCTCAACAAACGCAGTAGTGGCCCACTCGATCCAATCAGAATTTCCCCTCTGTTGAGTGTTGTCACTAGATGGCGGCCTTGCTCACTTATTTTATTGTTCTGTCAAAGGTTACGCTGTACTGACCTCGAGAAATAAACCAAAGGCTAAAGAGTGAAGACTGAGTCAGGTTAGAGCAGGCATCTCCAAGCTGCTCCACAAAGGGCCGGTGTGACTGCAGGTTTTTCTTCCAACCAATCAAGAGCAAGCAGTCTGACCAATCAGCTGTCTGCAGACTGAGATCAGCTGATGAAATGAATCAGGTCTGGTGTGCTGCTGCTTGTTGGAAGAAGAACCTGCAGCCACACCGGCCCTTTGAGGAACAGTTTGGAGATGCCTGGGTTTGGAGATGTAAGTGTTTACACGGACCAAGTTTCAGAATAACGATCGGTTTTAACCACCCCACTCGATCAGAATACGATTTCTTTCCGATTGAGCTCAACTGGATCAGAGTTTTCCGATTGACATGTTTACATGATGCTTTTTTATTCCGATTACTTGTGCCGTGTAAACGCGGCTGCAGACAGAACTCACAAGAACCTTCAGATTCACGTCCAATCTCACGATAACGAGTCGTCTCTCTAAAGACAGACACATAGACATATAAGCAGTAGATTGTGTCCTTCCAGAGGAGGAAATCTACTTCTAGACTTCTAGAATCAGCATCTCCTCATCCATGGTGTCATCGGGGTGAAATGACGTCTAAAAACCTTTCACTTGTTCGTCTCCGCCCGTTTGCATGGTGTGAAATACGATCCTCCTGAAACACGGAGTGTTTTATTTTGAAAAGAAGCCGGATGTTTTATTTTGTGTCTGTGCCCGACTTCCTTTCCAGCACGGGTTAATCTGTGCTGAATTTATCCGCCATGCTCCGGCGTCCAGAAAAAATAGAACTCTTGTGATCAGCTGAGGAGTCCGGCGATCCTCAGAGGAACGGAAAGAAGTCGGTGTAAATTGACTCTGGAGCGTCACTGATGTGTTTTCTCCTCCTCCTCCTTCAGGTGATGGGTTACTGGTACTTTGGCTCCACCTGGTGCTCCTTCTACCTGGCTCTGGATGTCCTCTTCTGCACCTCCTCCATCGTCCACCTCTGCGCCATCAGCCTCGACCGGTACTGGTCCGTCACCAAAGCCGTCAGCTACAACCGCAAACGGACGCCCCGACGGATCAAAGCCATGATCAGCATCGTGTGGCTCATCTCTGTGGTCATCTCGTCCCCGCCGCTTCTCATGACGCAGCAGGAGGACAGTCTGCAGGTGGAGGAGGGCGGGGACTCCAAGAGGCAGGAGTGTCTCCTCATGAACCAGACCTGGTACATCCTCTCCTCCTGCCTCGTCTCCTTCTTCGCACCAGGGGTCATCATGATCCTTGTTTACTGTAAGATCTACCGTGTGGCCAAGCAGAGGGCGAGCACAGTGTTCGTGGCGAAGAACGTGATGGAGCGCCAGCCGTCACAGTCTGAGACCTGCTTTGTGGGCGCCTCCAGGACCTGCCACAGGAAGGGCGCCACCTGCGACAGATCCCCGTACAAGCTGGGAAGCCCGCGGCCCGCAGACGGACTCAGCTCCTCCAACGTGGAGAGCAGCAGCAGCCGGCGAGGAGAGCTGGATGAGATCCACTTAGAGGAAAAGAGCCGTGATGTGAAGACCTCCTCCTTCTCCTCCGCCCTGCGCTTCACCAGGAGAGCTGCAGTTGGAGGAGGAGGCGACGCTAAATCAGAGGAGAGGAAGGAGGCAGAGGGAGCTGCAAACAGACTGAAGCCTCCTCCTCCTCCTCCTCCTCCTCCTCTTCCTCCTCCATCCTGTGCCTCCATCTCCTGGGCCTCCTCAGACCACTGCTCCCACCACCTCCTCCTGCCATCCCCTGTGCCACTGCGCAGCAGGCAGATGTCACTGTCCCGCCAGAAGGTGGCGCAGATGAGGGAGAAACGCTTCACCTTCGTGCTGGCGGTAGTGATGGGCGTGTTTGTCCTGTGCTGGTTCCCGTTCTTCTTCACCTACAGTCTGCACGCCGTCTGCAGGGAGAACTGCGTCATCCCGGACTCGCTCTTCAACCTCTTCTTCTGGATCGGGTACTGCAACAGCTGCCTGAACCCCATCATCTACACCATCTTCAACCGCGACTTCAGGAGGGCCTTCAAGAAGATCCTGTTTGAGCCGCACAAAGCCTCATGAGACCTGAGAGCATGAGTGTGTGTGTGTGTGTGTGTGTGTGTGTGTGTGTGTGTGTGTGTGTGTGAGTGTGTGTGTGTGTGTGTGTGTGTGTGTGTGTGTGTGTGTGTGAATCCTGTTTTCCACTGTGCTGTCACAGCGACATTAAAGGGCTTGTCATACAGTCTGAGTTTTGATTCATTATTCAAACCTTTCCTGATGATTTAATGAGACGCTATTAATTCAGGAGTGAGGATGAGGATGGTGATGATGATGATGAGGATGAGGATGAGGATGAGGATGGTGATGGTGATGATGATGGTGATGATGATGATGATGGTGATGATGATGATGAGGATGAGGATGAGGATGATGATGGTGATGATGATGATGATGGTGATGATGATGATGATGATGATGATGATGATGAGGATGATGATGGTGATGGTGATGATGGTGATGATGATGATGATGATGATGAGGATGATGATGGTGATGGTGATGATGGTGATGATGATGATGATGATGATGATGAGGATGAGGATGAGGATGATGATGGTGATGGTGATGATGGTGATGATAGTGATGATGATGATGGTGATGATGAGGATGATGATGATGGTGATGATGATGGGGTTAATAATGAGCATGGGGATAATGATGATGATGATGATGATGAGGATGATGATGATGATCAAAAGGATGATGATGATGATGATGATGATGATGATCAAAAGGATGATGATGATGATGATGATGGTGATGATGATGATGATGATGATGATCAAAAGGATGATGATGATGGTGATGATGATGATGATAAGAATGAAATTAATGATGATGATGATGATGAGGATGATGATGATGATGATGATGGTAAGTATGATAATGAGGATGATGATGATGGTGATGATGATCAAAAGGATGATGATGATGATGATGATGGTGGTGATGATGATGATGATGATGATGATGATGATGATGGTGACAGGGTGAGGAAGCCTTTCTAACGTGTTTCAAGGGTACTAGAAATATTTCCTCCTGCCAGCTGAGATTGATCATCGTCATCTGTAATATTTTAGATAAAATTCATCATCATCATCATCATCATCATCATCATCATCATCAGACACAGGCGACCGTGAAACAGGAAATAACACAAACAAGTCTGGCAGGACTGCTCTCCATGACGGGGATCATTCAGCGCTCTGACTGTCACTGTTCGACCACACTGGTCAGTCGTAGGTCCGGCGTTGACTCACACCCGTCTGTGCCGTAGATCAGCATCGCGACTTTTTCCTGATTCATGGAAACGGACTGTTTTTAAGGGGTCAGAGGGCTCTGATGGTTTCTGGTCCACGTACACCATGATGATGCTCATGACCTCAGCCCGACATGAACCCTAAAACCCCCAGATGTTAAGAGATACTCCATTCAGGTCGGGGTGTTAATTTTCACACAGCGTGTGGATGTAGAATGACTCCTTATTAATGCCGAGGTTCAGTGTCAGCACCCGTTAACTTCTTCTTTAGCTATATTTGCTGTCCTTGGCTAACGGATCAGCTCCAGGTTTCAGTATCAGCGAGGACTCAGATCCAGCTCGTACTGGTCTTAGTTTCCTGAGGTTTGTTTATGGCTCCTCAGACCGCTGTGTATTTCTATCCTGCGGTCGTTACTAAAGTTGGTATAACTAGAGAAGCAAGGGATATTACGCCGGAATATCCCTTTAAGTAGATTTGTCCCTTTTCAGCTCAAATACAGGACGCCTCCTTTTGTTTCTAAAAACGGGATGACTTGAATTGTTCCGAGGGAGGGTTGGCGACCCCACCTTTGACATCTTCAGGACTGGAGGGGAGCGACCGTACGTCCTGACGTCGTGTCTCAAAGTGAGCCAAGAAAAACGGAAAAGCATCTACTCAGCTGAGTGTGCAGGAATTTATAATGAAGGTGCGTGAACTTCTTAGAAATGAGCTTGTGAGGAAGGTGCTTCAAACTCCTCCTCATCATGTAGCAGCAGCTCGGCCTCGCGTCGTCGGCTGCGTCTAAACTCACATGTTAATTAGATGAATAGATGTCCACGGGGCAGTGAGCTCGGTCCCTGCAGAGCTGTGAGATATCTGAGCGCTGTAACTCACACAATAAAGATAATGAGTGTAGAAACCCTCCACAGCCGTCTGAAAAAACAACACACCAAACAAAGAGACGTGGACGTTCCTCGGCGCAGAACCTCTGACTCGGAGCAGACGGGGGACAGGATGAGAGTTGGCCGTTTTTCACTCAGTGGAGACGCCGTGTTGACTCTGAGCAGCTCGGGGGCAGAAACATCAAAAATTCATGTGCTGCTGGTAGACAGACAGACAGACAGAGAGAGAGAGAGAGAGCAGCTTTAACTCAGACGGAGAGAATAATGACGCCCACACGGCTGAATAAATATCATCAACCTGAGGACGGATGATTATCCTCTGAAGCTCATCAGGAGATAATTGGACAGGATGCTGAGAGCTGAATCACTCAGAGCTGTGTGGAGCGTGACGGACGGACGGACGGACGGCCAGCTGAAAACACGAAGACAAAAGAAGAAGACAAAGAAATGTCCTCATTGACTCGGTCTCTTTGTGGACAGGGTCATGTGATCACCTGCCAGAAAGTTAACTCATTTATTACTCAGGGACAAGAGTCTCACACTGACAGGTCCAAGGACACCCTGTTACATCCTCTGGTTACCTAGCAACAGTTTGACAACAACTCGACTCTTTCTTGATCACCTGAATTCAGATCGGCTATGAAACTAAACAAGTCCGAAAAAAAGAGGAGGAAGAGAGCGGCAGGTGAGCGGCGCTCTGACACAGGTGTGACAGTCCTTCACCTCTTCATCAACAACGTCATGAACGGTGGAGGCACCAGATCCACTCCAGGCCCGGCGCCTTCTGATGAAGTCACGCTATATGATTGGTTGAAAGTTGGTTCTGATGACGTGGAAGATTACGGTTGGTCCAGATTAGGATTAGGTTTAGAGGGATTGTGGTTCTTCAGAGAAAACATGGACGAATTTTACTGAGAAATCTATCACTGCTTATCAAAGAGGATTTACGACAGAGGGACTACCGCCTCTTTAGGAAATGTGGAATAAAAACAGAAGCGTCTATTGATTAACATAGATCCTCTGAACATGGATGAAAATATTGAATAATTGATGAAATTCAGATGCATTGGCAGGTCCGAGGATGAACCCAGAGCAGGTCAGAGACAAACACGGATCTTCTACCACCATCAGCTGGTCACCGCAGACAGGACTCTCGCTCCAGGATGACCAAAGTCTCTTAGATCCAATTTCCTCGTTTACTGTCTCCTCTTCTCGTTTCCTCGGATCTCTCCTTTATCTCTGGTGGGCGGGGCTAAGACCTAAGTGAGTGGCGCAAGTGTGTTACTTCAAGGTGTTCTGATGTAGCTTCTGTGTGCAGAAGACCTTAAGAAATACTCAGAAGGAGATGGTGAATTTACTCCATGAGAACTTCAGCGAGGACCTCAGGACACACCGCCTAGTCCTGAAAACCCTCTGAATGAGTCTGACCTCCTCCTCCTCCTCCTCCTCCTCCTCCTCCTCCTCCTCCTCTGAATGGGTGTCTGCTTGTTACACCATCTTTTTTTCTGGCTCACAGAAATCTTCTTCGATCTTCCACGCTGACCTGTTTCCTTGACGTCTGAAGCATTTGAAAGGGTTGATCTTCATCCGCGGTGTTTAGCTGTTTTTCTGACCTCTTCGTCTGCAGGAGCTTTAACCGAGGACAGACCTGCCGACCTCGCCTGCTCGCTCTGAAACTTCCCGTTAACTCGAACACCTCCACAGAGTCGGAGAGGGTAAATGATGATTATTAGCGTCAAGAGTACGTAGGGACTCTTCTCCGAGGTGACTCTCAGGCTGTCTGGTCTTCGATCTGTTCAGACTTCTCTCTGAGTCGTCAAAGAGATGAAGTCTGACTAAAGGTTTTAGGGGAACAGGACACTGCAGTACACTGAACATTAGATCTGCTGAGAGAGTGACAGTAATGATGATTGAAATAAAAACTGTCCTCGGCTGCAGAAGGAGCTTTATGAACCTAAATAAACATGAAGAATTTACATTTTCTACCAACTAAAACTAAATATTCTCAACTTTTTTAAAGTAATAATCCAAACACGTGATCTGATGATGCAGTTTGTAGGAACCTCCAGTTTTCTAAGCCTAACCCCCAATTTTCACCACATCCAGAACGACTCCGATCCAGAACTGCTGCGACGATTTTCGCCGTCCGCCGATTCCTACCCGATCTGTTGTGAGTTCTTCCGAGCAGGACTGGGAAGAACTCACGAGAACCTGCGGATTCACGTTCAATCTCACGATAACGAGTTGTCTCTCTAAAGACAGACACATAGACATATAAGCAGTAGATTGTGTCCTTCCAGAGGAGGAAATCTACTTCTAGACTTCTAGAATCAGCATCTCCTCATCCATGGTGTCATCGGGGTGAAATGACGTCTAAAAACCTTTCACTTGTTCGTCTCCGCCCGTTTGCATGGTGTGAAATACGATCCTCCTGAAACACGGAGTGTTTTATTTTGAAAAGAAGCCGGATGTTTTATTTTGTGTCTGTGCCCGACTTCCTTTCCAGCACGGGTTAATCTGTGCTGAATTTATCCGCCATGCTCCGGCGTCCAGAAAAAATAGAACTCTTGTGATCAGCTGGGGAGTCCGGCGATCCGCAGAGGAACGGAAAGAAGTCGGTGTAAATTGACACGTTAACTTGAATGGTTACGATCAGCTACGATCGGAGGATACGACCTTTTAGGAGACCATCAGGATGAAGGTGGAGGTCAGTGAGGCTTATTCACTCATTGGCTCGTTTGTTTGGTCTACATGTTTGCACCAGGTCAGGCTCTTTTGTGAATTGGTGTTGACATGTCAGCTGTCCGAATCATCTCCACTCACCTCAGCATCAGTCAGAAAAAACAGAGAAGATGAACGTTTATGACCTCCCACCTGCTTTCTAATTGTTTTGAGGGGCACAAATGTTGTAGGCACAGGTGAACAAAAACAGAAAAAGCTTTTTCGCTTCCTCTGCCGAAGTTCAGAAAAAAAGGCAGAACAGTGAAGAAGAGACAAGAGTGGACTTGTTTTTTAAAAACCCTAAACCATGAAGCCTAATTTTTCTAAATTCAGTTCAAACTAATAATTATCAAACCTGTGATGATGGAGGTCAAAACTGGACTGTAGAGACAACTTCACTTTAATGGTTTGTTTGAGCTGAGGTAAATGACGGTGTCGTCAGCAGAGAGACGGACAGTTAGAGGAAATGAATTCAAGATTGTTCATGAAAGTGAAACAAAAATGGGCCAAATGTAGATCCTTGTGGGACACCAGATTCAATGAGTGTAAAAGGAATAAAACATATTTATGTCAGTGATGAGGATGAACCCCATCTGAAGCAGTTTACTGAGGAGACGGTAATGACCAATCAAAAATCAGCAGCAGTTACTCCGTCTGAATCAAAAACTGACAGCAGGTCCTGACCGATGAAACCCGACACTCACCTTTACTCCAAGTCCAGATCAAACACTTCACTGTTTGATGTTTTAAATCGAATTTCATCCTCTGACCAGGTTCTGCTCAGAAACGTTCTCGTTCAGTCTCAGAGAGATGAGGAAGTGTGCCGACATGAGCGTGACTTTGGTCCAGGTGTTTGTAGGACTCACTTTGGTTCTGTCTGAGCCCTCGTAGAAACTCTAATCTGATGAGGAGTCCTCTAAACCCCCCTTCAGATCTGAGTCCTCCTCTCTCTGTCATTTTTCTAAAAAGCAGGAGATTAAATCTCTAAATCCCGTCATCTGCTCAGTCTCTGCAGATTTTCTGTCCTCATCTTAAACACTTCAGTCCAGACCTTCACTCCCCCACACTCCCGCTCTGAGGCTGCCTCATGTGACGTTTCCTCACCTTGACTTTCTCATTGTTGGGGTGTCATCTGGGCGCCGCTCATGCGGATGATTTTACAATCTGGCGTTTCCTCGGATCATTGGTTCGGGGCGATGGAGAAACACAATGGCTCTGCTGCTGCTGCCAGGTGGAACAAAGCGGAGCGTCTGGACTCAGCCGGCATGAGAAAGCTGAGACACTCGGAGAACTCGGTGTTACAGAGGAGGACTGAGACCAAGCCAGCGGGTTCAGACCTTCAGTGGTGGTCCACAGATAGCTCTGCACATTTGCGTCACCTTCATTAGAACAACGGTTTGTTATAAAGAACGACGTTGAAAGCTGAGAAGGTCGGAAAACACAGCAGAGGAAACAGAGAACCAGCCGGATCTGAGTCTCAGCTGGTTCTGAAACCTGGAGCTGGTCCCTTTTAAAGACCTTCATGAAACTCACAGAAACATCATGAGAAAAAGTTTTCTAACAGGACTAAATAAAGGGTTCATTTGTCCTCAGACCTCCTCTGTGAAGTTGTTCATCTCAGATCACCGAGGTCAACACCTTCAGTCAGCGTCAAAGTCTCATGAGAGGTTCTGGTTTGGAGTTTTTCCCTGAAGTCCAGTCTTCTGTGTTTCCAGTTTGACCCTGTTTCCCTCCTGATCTCTGTGTTTTATTCTTTAGACCAGTTTACAGTGTTTATTTCCTGTTTTATTTTGTAGGAGTTGATTCCTTGTGTTTCTAGTCTTGTCTGACTTCCTCTGTGAGCGTCCTCGCCTGTGTCTCCTTTCCTTGTGTGTTTATATCAAGTCCTTGTCTTCCCTGTTACTTTGTTGGTTCATTGTGTTGTGTGTGTGTGTGTGTGTGTGTGTGTGTGTGTGTGTGTGTGTGTGTGTGTGTGTGTGTGTGGTTCTTTCCCTTTTTTGTAACTCTGACTGACAAACACACAGCTGTCAGACCGTCTCTCATAACCCCGTCAGGTTGTCTCAGTCCTCCTGCTCAGCGTCTCGTTTTGATTGGTCCTCCTTAAAACACGACGAGGATTTGACTGACAGGTAAATTTTTGTTCTTTTGTTTTTAATTTCTAAATAAAAAAATCTCTGGTTTCTCTGAGCAGCAGTGATCTTTGGATGAGCTTCTTGTTTCTCTGTCAGGGCTGAATCCCCGCCGGCCTGCAGGTCTGGTTTGTTTCTCCACTGTATGAAGTGAAACCTCTGAATCCCTGATCGGTTGTTTGTTTCTGTGTCACGTTGAGAAAAAGGACAGAGATGGTCGGCTCGTTGTGAATGCTGATAAGAAGGAAACATCATCTCCCAGCAGGCCGTCTGCTCTCTGCATCCGTGAAGGAGGAGGGATAAAGGTGTAATAAAGGTAACAGCAGCAGACCGAGTCAGAGGACTCACCGAACAATCATGATGATGAAGAGAGAAACACCAACCAAACTCTGACACCACCAAACTGTGGATCTTCATCAAAGTTCAGGAGCTCAAAGGGTGAAGAAGGAGACTCAGAGATGAACACTGAAACCTTTACAGCCACATGATATTATTATAATAATAATGATGAGACACAAGATCTTTGATATCCTGACGGGAAGGACCTGAATCTGGATTATCACCGTGGGAAGAGTTCTGGTTTCCGTCTGTACGGAGAGCAAAAGCAGGAGGAGCACAGTCCACCACCACGACCTTCAGCTCCTCCTTAAAGAAAGTTTCTATTCAGGGTCAGACTGAGGTGAAAAGGCGTTTTCAGGAGGGTCAGAGGGAGGGCTTCATACTTTAGAGAAGCTCCTGGAACAGCCTCAGAGAAGATATTCTTGTGTTAGTCCAAATGAGAGCAGCATGTAAATACAACAAGAGAAATAAAGGACGAAAGACACACACACACACACACACACACACACACACACACACACACACACACACACACACAAGTGTTTATGAGCCTCAGTGTGTCTCTGCTTTATTAAACTCAGGATGATGTGGGATGAAGTTCTGTCTCTTACAGTCCTGTGGAGTCTCACTCAGAGCCTGAGGGGTTCCTCTGAGGGTCCGACACGGGACCGTGTGCAGGCTGCAGAAGATCCCAACGACGTTCACGACAAAACACAGTCAGAGCGCAGACCACCGAGGAAATAAGGCCGAGCTGTAAAACAGACTGACAGACAGACGGGAGGTTTGAACACGAGTGTCAATCTTCGCTTTTTCCCACCATGTGTCCACAGAGGGCCGCCGTCAGAGATGGGAGGAACCGTTCTTTTGACCGAATCTTTAGAATCGGTTCATTTAAACGATTCGTTCAAAAGATTCGTTCACTGAATCAGTCAGTGTTTCGGAGCCCCGCCCCGTCGCTGCAGTACATCAGTGAGTGACACAGCGGCGAGTTCGTTCATTAGCCCCTCCCCTTCCTGCTGCTGGAGTCACAGCGTCGTTCACTGGGTGACTCGTGTCGTTCATTCGCCAAGTCCTGAAGGAAGAATCACTGCCCTGCCCTGAAAAACTCACCTCTCTGTGTGTCGCCGTCTGTCGGCGAAACAACACAGCAGCGAGCAGCACGCCGCTAAACGAGCGCGAGCCGTCGTTCTTTTAAATGTCGGAAAAGTGGCGAGATTATAAATAAACAAAGATGTCAGCTGTAGCGAGGATTCAGAGACTTTATAGATATCAAATATCGTATTTCTTTAAATCGTCTGAAATTAAATCTTCTTACAGGAAAGTTTGAACACGTGTTTTCATGTAAAGGCGCCATAATGACCTCGATAAACGAACAGTTCGTGAACGACGCTACACCCCTCCCTCTTCTTCCTGCATCAAGTCATTCGGAAGTCGTTCGTTCCGTTCACCTGTCGCTCGCTCGCTCACTGGCTGGATGTGTGTCGTTCGCCAAAGAGTCAAAGGCG